CTAGGATGAAGCATCAAGTGTTATGTCAAGACTGCCAAAATTGATGAGAATGAGGAATTTAATTAGTATTCTTTGCATTTCTACTCCTGGGTAGTATTTAGTGGTTAACAACCATTGAGAGTCTTGTTATTATTACTAAATTTGTTTAATCTACATTTAAAACTACCCATGTTGACAACCTTTTCCACCTCTTAGCACATTTCACGTTGCAACATGTGAAACATTGGACTTCTCAACCACACTGGACGCTGTTCCAAGACCTCTATTCAGAGCACATTACTGTAGTCTCTTGAGACTGAAGGATGCCTACCCATGTGAAGCAGTACTTCCTCCTGTCTACCTTGTATCTCCAACCACTCATTGGTGGTTACAGATTCTGCTAAGATGGTTGAGGGAGAAGAAAACCATTTTCACTCTTTCTCTGTACTATATATATGTGACAGATTAGCAGAATTTACACACTTTGAAATTAAGTAACTGCAGTCAAATTTCCATAACAAATAACTTTTAAAAGAAAGAAGGAGAAAACAGCAAATTATCTCGCAAAATATGCAGGTGTAGGTGGTTGGTGCTGTAGAGCAGTGGTCCCCAACCTTGGACCTCCAGAAGCCTTCACCACCATCTCTGCTGGCCAGGATTTCTGGGAGTTGGAGTCCAAGAACATCTGGAGGCCCAAGGTTGGGGACCACTGGGGTAGAGCAATGGTTCCCAACCTTGGGTAATCCAGGTGTTCTTAGACTGCAACTTCCGCCAACATAGTTAGTGGCAAGAGCTTCTGGGAGTTACAATCCAAGAACACCTGGGTTACTCAAGGTTGGGAACCACTGCTGTAGAGTGTTCTTGAGCTACAACTCCCAGAAATCTTGACCAGCACAGCTAGTGATGAAGGCTTCTGTTAGTTTTAGTCTAATAATATCTGAGAACCTAAAGTTGATTCTCAGTCATTCCACAGATCTGACACAGTATTCAGGGTACAACACCTTTTTTTCATAAATATTACTAAGAATTCACACTTACTCCATCCCCATGTCATCATACATGTGCAATGTTTCACCCCCATTCTTCTTGCTTACCAACTTTGCATAAATTTAAAATGTAACAGATTGCTTCAAAGCATATCCATGTGCTTCTTGGAAAAACCTGGGCATATTGCTTCTAGCCTAGTGAATTCCATGTTCTTTGAAACAGCAGTTAGTGAGAATTACTGCTGTGAGTTATAGTGTCAGTTCAAGCAAAATAACAACGGACCAGTTAGGCAACACCACATCTGATCCGTATGCACCACAGATAGTGTAGAGCAGTGGTCCCCAACCTTGGGCCTCCAGATGTTCTTGGACTACAACTCTCAGAAGCCTTCACCACCACCTCTGCTGGCCAGGATTTCTGGGCATTGAAGTCCAAGAACATCTGGAGGCCCAAGGTTGGGGACCACTGGTATAGAGGACTCCTGCAAAGAGGTGAGCAAAGAGACCATTTTTATTTCCTGTCTTTAAATAGGGATGTCCCTGTTTGATGCCAAAATTTATTATTTATTTATTTACATTTATTTTATCCCCTCTTTCTCCTTAAAAAGAAATCCCAGAATTCAGGAAAATGATTTACCACCCACATTTAGCGACATGGTTTTCCTGATGTTATGGTTTGACTGCTTAATTCTCACTTCTGGTGTATACAAGCTCTTGGACACATGAGGTGCACAGTGGGCTCCTTGAACTGAGATGTTGTGATGGAGGTTGATGTTGCTATTGGTCGTTTGTTGTGGGTTTTTGCTAAATTGATTTATATCCCAATTTCTTTGATCAAGTCAAATTGCTTTGTGATACCCCATACGTGGTAGTGCTGTGGGTTAAACTGCAGAAGCCTCTGTGCTGCAGGGTCAGAAGACCAGCAGTCGTAAGATTGAATCCACCCAATGGAATGAGTTCCCGTCGCTTGTCCCAGCTCCTGCCAACCTAGCAGTTCGAAAGCATGTTTTTAAAAAAGCGAGTCGATAAATAGGTACCACCTTGGTGGGAAAGTAACGGCGTTCTGTGCTTAGCTGCGCTGGCCACGTGACTATGGAAACGGTCTTCGGACTAACACTGGCTCTACAGCTTGGAAACGGGGATGAGCACTGCCCCCTAGAGTCAGATACGACTGAACTAAATATCAAGGAGAACCTTTACCTTTACCTCATAACTCAAAGCAACCAGGGAAAAAGTAGAGTTTCCAGCTGAGATGCTCTTGAGAGCTGACTGGCTTAGATTCAGTAGGGTGGCTGTATCACATGCTTTCAAGCTAGGGTCTCTGCAACAAGCTGAAACAAATCACAAAATTCAAATTACGTTGTTCTGATTTGTACCCATTTGTATATCTTTGAGATCAAAGTGAAAAGGCCAGATTCAATCAGGTCCACAGCAAAATGAAGTGAATTTACAAATCACTTTATATCCAGAACACAGACTAAATGAGGCACAAACCATTCAGCTTTTTTTCTTTTCTTGTTTAAAACTAACTTTTAAAGATGACCAGTTGACAAACTTCTGAAACTACCTGTCTAAAATTTGGTGGGTTGACTGCCTCCTATGGTCTTAATCATGTCGCCAAACCTCATGTTATATCAATAGGAAAACAGAAAAAAACACACCCGTTCTGGTTTTCCAATGCAAGTCAATAGGATCAATTCATATCTGAGGCAGAATCTTCATTTGTTAAGGCACGAAATGCAATATTTTAAAAAACAAACAAACCCAAATTAGCCTTCAGATTGAGGGACCTCTGCATATCCCTCTTTCAGACCATGAAAATGATTTTTTTTAAAAAAATTGTAAAGGATTTATCACTATTCTAATTTCATTCTTGTCAATTAAAGAAAAGTGTGTGAATCCATTAAAAAAATAAGATATTGGGGAGATGGCCCCCAGCTTTTGTGTCCTTAAATCCCCCCAACTTCCCAACCACTGCCTTGCAATGAGGCATTTTAGCACTTTAGAAAGAAACGTCCCATCAGACTAAATTGTGATTACTGACTTCATACTGCTGCTCAGGCTGAAAACAGCTACGCAGACAATTAGTAGCTGAAAGCCCAGAACTCACTGTAGCGGCAAAGTATTATATGTCTTGGAGCTGCAGCAATGACTTTCTATTACTGAGCTAACCTTGACATTTCTGCGTTTAGAGCCAGGCCTGACAAGTCTGTCAGGGAACCGACAGGAGATCGAGGCTGCCTCAGAGCTAATGTTGGATGTCAAGAGTTCAGCTGCGTAGAAGAGGGAGGCAGAGGGAGGGGTGAAGTGGGAGGAGAAGACGCGATAATGGAAGTGGAGAATACTGAATTTAAAAATTGAGATGAAGCTATGTCCTCAAAGACAGCTTGGCCAGAAGGAGGACTTTATCTACTGCAATATACAGCTTGGGATGACTGTACCCATTTAATTTCACTGTTCCCGTCTTTTTGAGATATTTGAGGACAGTCCCACTACCATCCCAGACATAGGTTGAGGATCCAAGAGAAGGCATTTTCAGCAGCTGCTGTCAGCCCACAGAAATCCTTGCCTCACAAAACTAGGTTGCCCCCCCCTCCTTACAATCCTTCCCTTAGCAGGTGAAAACTTTCCTGTTTACATTGACTTTTAACCTCTAAATGCCCTTGCGTGGCTGCATTTATTTTTAAATGGTGGTGCAGTGTATTTTTATCAGCATTTTTTTTAAAATCAGGTGTATTAATGTTTTGAAGTGTTTTAATTCATGAACTTTTAATGGAGCATGGAACACTCTTGTTTGTTCTGTCATACTTTAAGGTATGCTATTTATGTATTTATATTATTTATATGCTGCCTGTCTCCCCATAGGCAGCTTACAACAACTAAAATGAGAAGACAAAAGAACAGTTTTTAAAAAGTACTATATAAATATCATATTAAATACAATCAAACATATATTAATATTAAAAACCAAGATTAAAAACAATTAAGCTAATAAACAGACATTCCTGAGACAGTTACTGCTTAAAAGCATGTCTGAAGAGGAAGGTCTTTGCCAAGAACAAGAGGACAAATGTTATGTTCATGTTTTAATTTATTGCGATTTTTAATGTATATATATTTTAGTAGTTGTACACCATCTTTCCCCTTTATTAAGAGAAAGGCAAAAATAAAGTTAAGCTGGTGCCCACTGTGGTTTGTGAGGCAGAAAACACAGTATCCAAGAGTGAGTGGACCCAACATCAACATGCCAATGGTGGAATTCATTATCAGGCAGGCAGGGATACCAACAGGACTTCATTCACTCATTCATTCTCTCTACAAGTTACCAAAGGATCCCAATTCTATTTCTGCCTCATGCTACTTCCATCTTCTCATTTTCCACATGGGAGCAGCTACTGAAAATGCCCTCTCTTGGGTCCTCACCAAATGTGTCTGGAATGGTGGTGGGACTAAGACAAGGTCTTTCCTCAAAGATCTCAATCTGTCTCGTTCTCTCTCCAACAACACACACAGAGAGACAGAGAGACAGAGGGAGGGAAGGAGGGAGAAAATGTAATTGAGGCTGGGAAATTTCAGGTTGAAAGTGCCTTCAATTTTTTTGTCAGAACAAGCAAGAACAATGATTGAAATTCTGGGAAACTGCTGTTGGCCAGAATGAGGACACTGGAAGCTTTATTTCTTTTTAAGCTGGATGGAAAAAACAGGTTTCTCATAGTTCATTAAAAATACTATTAAATGCCCACAGGAAAATGTGTTTCTGTTTATTTAGCCCATCTATCTTGCTCCATGGGAGAAGCACTAAAGACTGTTATATGGTCTCTTTTCTGACTATTTCTCACTTGCTGCCTTGACATGAGCTATCTTGCTATAAGAGACTCATTCATGCAACTTTCCTCAAGGTGACTTAAGAGAAGGCTGAGATGCCTTAAAGAAATGTGACTTTGGGCCAGTTTTATTTCCAGATTGGCACATATAATTCAGTTAATTTTTTAAAAAAATAATTAACTCATTGTATTCTTCTGTTGTTTTTTCTAGAGATCATCTACAGTTGGGTATTTAATGAGTTCCCCTCCTTTGTGGCAGAAGACAGCCGGCGCTTCATTTCTCAAGAAACAGGCAATCTCTACATTTCAAAGGTACAGCCATCTGATGTTGGGAGCTACATATGCCTGGTGAAGAACACAGTGACCAATGCCCGGGTCCTCAGCCCTCCTACGCCACTGACGCTGAGAACTGATGGTAAGCCACTTTTGTCGCCAGTGTGACATAAATTTGCAAATATTTTGTTCAAACACATACAATATATCCTTCATTTGTGAAGAAGACCATATCCATCAGATTTACCATTTAGGAAAAAGAAGTGAGCAATTATTGAACCGTTGCATACTGATGCGTGCACAGTTGACTAACTATCCAATATGAGCCAGAAAGGTAAGGGAACAGCAGGGGTATATTAGCAGCTCCTGGACTTTTTGGGCTGCTAAGATGTTATGTGTTTGCTTTCTCATTTCTCTCTTCCTTTGTGCATCCTTGATTCTTTTTATTTCAGGTTTTTCAGCCCCTTGTTTCATAGTGTTTTTCAGACACATGGCCAGATGTAATAAAATGCACAGGCATGGGGAAATAGACAAGCATAAGCTATGTGGAACAGCCTTGTTGCCCATTTACACTTGCACAAGGGAAATCATACAAGTCTTGGTGGGAAATTGTCACTTGTTAATGAGTTGATAATTGCATTCCTGGACATAGGGCCCATTGTGTAATCAGGTGGGTGTCCAGAACTTTGTTAACAAGCACCCATTGGCCTCTAAGTCTTATATGGTTTTCCTCCTGTAAGTATAAAGTGACAATAGGATTCTGGTCATGCTTTAATTTCTTGGGAAATAAATGTCTTTGTGTAACAATGATAGCCTGTTGCAACAAAGACAAAAAAGAAAACCAACATCTCCTTAAAGACTAACATGTTTTATTTGGTGTTAGCAGTTATAGGCAGTAGACTGCTTCTTGAGATGCATACAAGTAGACTACATTCCATGAAAGTTTCTGCTACATAACACTTGTTAGTATTTAAGGTGCTGGAACAGCCCTTGTTGTTTACACTTGCTTTAATTACATCTATATTGGACTAATGTAACATGCTTTGCACCAAGCCATATGCATTGTCTCTGACATATTTTTGGCAGCACCTGGCAGGACAAAGTTCCAAATAGTGTAGTCCTGGGATGAGCTGGAATTGTTAGCATGTATACATTACTGAAACAGTGATGTCTATGTTGGCTTGGGCATGTTATGAGAATGGCTGATGGTCGGATTCCAAAGGATCTCTTGTATGGTGAATTAGTGCAGGGAAATCGCCCCAGAGGGAGACCACAGCTGCGATACAAGGAGATCTGCAAGCGGAATCTGAATGCCTTAGGTATAGACCTCAACCTCTGAGCATTCAGCCTGGAAGGAGGTGGTGCAGCATGGCCTCTCCCATTTTGAAGAGACCCTTGTCCAGCAGGCCGAGGTAAAGAGGCAGTTACAAAAAATTTTGAAGAGACCCTTGTCCAGCAGGCCAAGGTAAAGATGAAGTTAGAAAAACAGCAAAATCAGGAAGCTGGACAGGGGACAAATTGTATTTGTCCTCAGTGTGGAAGGGATTGCCACTCTTGAATTGGCCTTCTCAGCCACACTAGATGCTGTTCCAGAGCACATTACCATAGTTTCTCTATATTGGATTACTGTAACATGGTTTGCAGACCCTTGTCCAGCAGGCCAAGGTAAAGATGAAGTTAGAAAAACAGCAAAATCAGGAAGCTGGACAGGGGACAAATTGTATTTGTCCTCAGTGTGGAAGGGATTGCCACTCTTGAATTGGCCTTCTCAGCCACACTAGATGCTGTTCCAGAGCACATTACCATAGTTTCTCTATATTGGATTACTGTAACATGGTTTGCACCAAGCCATGTCTGATGCCTTCAGAAGCTTTACCTGGTCCAGAATGCAGCAACTCTCCAGAGGGGGCTCAAAGGAATACATGGTTGTCTGAACATGATATGCCCAGTTTAGAAGAACTGCACATTACTAACATATTTCCTCCTGCCATTCAGAATGCTTGCTGTTACACATTGTTCATTATATTTACTCAGAGGCGTTCCAGCTCCATGTGTGCTTAAAATATTCACAGGTCTAACTATAACATCTCAAATCCAAATTCTAAAGTGACAGGGAGGAACAGAATGCCTTTACTTGTCACCAAAAAGATATCACTATGTGTATCAGGCAAAGTGGAGAGTGTATTCAAGAGACAGGGAGGAACAGAATGCCTTTACTTGTCACCAAAAAGATATCACTATGCGTATCAGGCAAAGGGGAGAGTGTACTGTATTCAAGACATGGAGTGCCACCACTAAGAAGGTCCTTTCTCTCTAACTCCACTGTGTTATTCCATCATGTACTGTGATTTTTATGTCTTGTCAAGCCTGATTTGTGACAACTCTATGAATGAATGATCTCTAAAAGTCTTCAACTGCCCTGCTCATTTCATTCTATAGTGGCTTCCAAAGACCAACTTAAAAGTCTAGGCAGGTGCTCATGGGCGGTCGTGTTATTTAGGTTCAGAGGTGGGTAAAAACATCTTCCAGATGTTGCTTGCAATTCCATCAATCCTAACCAGGATAGCAACCAATAAAGAAAGCTGGGAGTTGTTCAGCAACATCCAGAGGGTTTCACTTTGCCAACCTTGCTTTGGAAACTCTGGCTCCATGCTATTTAGGATTTTAAAGGTGGCCACAGATACTTTAAATAGGGCTCCCAAATGGATTATAAGCTAATGAAACTGCTGATACCATGTGCTCATATTTACCATTCCCAGTTCATAATGCAGAAGTTCCACTACCAATAAAATAAAATAAAATCCCAAGATTCATTGTGAGAAGCACATTTTGCCTCAAGAATCTGTAGGTCATGGAAGAAGTCATATTGTCAGAGAAAGCCGTAAACAAAATCCAAAAGCCAGCCTTCATATCAAGACAGTACCTTTATTGCAGTTTTTTAAAAAGAAGGCACAGGATGAAATCGTATAGTGCAGCTGTGTCTGCAGAACAGGAATAATATCATTGAAAGCAGCAAATTGCTTCAAAATGGAGACTTCTGTTTGTGATTTCAGGGTATGCATGGCTTGTGCACAATGTGAAAAAGTTAGATTCACCCTAAAATAGCAGGAAAAAAAGTCTTTAATCTACAGCTTTTGGTGACCTCATTCTGGTTGCACAGGTTGACCCTGCCCAGCAAGATTACAACCACAAAGTTGTAAGCAAACTTTTAGGGTTAATGTCCCTTCTTTAGGCTTGATGTTACAAAAGGCAATGGGAAGAGGAATGGGGAAGAAGAAGGAGCAAAACAGAAAGAAGGAAGCAAAGAAGCCCATCAGAGAGATAGGATTTACTTGGGATTTTTTTAAAAAATTTTGTACTTTTTGTGAGAACTTATCCTGTGAACACATGGAGGTCTACCTTACTTCTGGGTGAATTGGTGACATGGGGGAGGAGCTTATATGGCTGCTCCATCCTTCCTATCACTGCCACACATTCATGCTTAATGCCCAAACTGGAGTTTTGTAATCGGAATTTGTGCTACATGTCATTTCCATCCTGAAATAAGTGGATAGTGTTACTATATGTCATTTCCTTCCACTTCAGGGCTCTTTATTCTTGTTATGTTGCTAAATATATGCACAGTATATGGTAGCAAGAGATACTCAGTGTGATATAGTGGATCAAGTGGTGGACTAGGACTCAGGAGACCTGGGTTCAAACCCCTGCTCACCCATTTTGTTGTTGTTTAGTCATTAAGTCGTGTCCGACTCTTCCTGACCCCATGGACCAGAGCATGCCAGGCCCTCCTGTCTTCCACTGCCTCCCGGAGTTGGGTTAAATTCATGTTGGTCGCTTCACTGACACTGTCCAACCATCTCATCCTCTGTCGTCCCCTTCTCCTCTTGCCTTCACAGTTTCCCAACGTCAGGGTGTTTGAGTCTTCTCTTCTCATGAGATGGCCAAAGTATTGGAGCCTCAGCTTCAGGATCTGTCCTTCCAGTGAGCACTCAGGGTTGATTTCCTTCAGAATGGATAGGTTTGTTCTCCTTGCAGTCCAGGAGACTCTCAAGAGTCTCCTCCGGCAACATAATTCAAAAGGATCAATTCTTCGGTGGCCAGCCTTCTTTATGGCCCAGCTCTCACTTCCTGTGAGAGCTGCTGTCGTCCCCTGCTTCTCTTGCCTTCACAGTTTCCCAATGTCAGGGTGTTTGAGTCTTCTCTTCTCAGACATGGAAACCATATAAACTCACTTTATCAGCGTGGAAACTCACTGATGAAGCCACTCCTTAAATATCTCACTTACCTTGAAACTCCGTTAGGTTGCTGTAAGTCTGTTCTGACTTGATGGCACATGACAATAATAATATGCTAACAGATACCTGAAGGCCTAATAAGTATAGAAAAGAGTGTTGACTGCATAATGTTCACCATAAGGTCTCCTCCCCTCCATGAAGTAAGTTGCTCTCACAAAGCAACAGAAGAATCAACACCTAAGCGCAACTGTCATGGTCCAGTCTCAACTGAACCACTCCATATTGGTATGCCCAGAATTGAACAAAGTTCAAATATATTGACTTATTTTGGGGTGAAAGATGCATATTATCTTATCATCTGGTAAATCTGGGGGTTTAAAAATGAAATTAAAGAGATCATGTCTCACGACCCTCTTATTGCAAATCTTTTATCTTGTCTGTTTCTGCATTCAGCTTAGGGTACCCTGGACTAGATTAGTAAAAGTCCTATCCTTATATAAGAAAGCTGTATGTGTGCCTTATAGGTACTTGTTTGAGGCTAATCTTATATGCATATATAGTAATTCCCTTAATTACTGCCTTTTTCTGAATGAACTATTTTTTTTTTAATTAAAGGGAGTGTTTATAGAAAGTATTTTTAGAATGGAGATACAGAGCTATTTTCAGTAACTGCGCCTTTTCAAGAAACTAGTTTGAGCGCATGCACGCACACACACAAGCTCACAGGAGTAAGTATTAAGCAAAGCCATAAAACATGCAAACACAGTAAGATACTTGCTCTGGCTTATAAATATTTGAGCACTGTGAGAATATTACAAAGTCTAGGCTTTATAAAAATGATCTGATTTGATACACTATATATGCATACGGAGCTTAGCCTGGAATAAGTTGATCCCCGTTCATTACT